GCCAAGGGAGGACAGGAAAGCAGCCTTCAGCTCAGTGCCAGTCCGGGGGGAGGGAGGAGAGAGAGGCAGGAAGAGACAAGGATGAGGGTCGCATAAAGGAGGAAGCAAGGAAAGAAAAGCAGTGCAGGCCAAGGACAAAATGCAGTGCAGGCACAGACCAAAAAAAGTGCAGGGAAAACTTGATAAAGCAGTGCGAGTGATCGATGAACATCCAAGAGGATCACATGAGTACGTCACGGGCAGTCCTTAGGTATGTTTGGTTCACACCACCACCCATGGCATCACCAAGACGACGATGCAGGTTAGCGACTACAACATCCGAGTCATCATCGCTGCCTGGATGATCTCCTCTGGTTCTTCTCGGTGTAGACGGTGGGAGCCCCACGAGACACAGAACCCAATGCCCGTNNCAAATCGTACCCCCTGTGTCGTGTGTGATATCACAAGACGCAGAACCCAGTGCCCGTAGCAACTCGTACCCCCAGTCACCCTTGTCACCGGGTGGAGGGTCGTCCTGAATTGTTTGTATGATAGTGGGCGCACAGGAGGGTGGTAGTGGGAGCTTGAGGTCAAAAAGTTGTTGGGGTCCAATGAAGTCCTGCGGGACAGGTGCAGGGCAGACACACTGACTCTAGGACTAGTTAGCTTGCTACCACAGTGCGGGCGGGTAGCATCAAAGGTCAGCTCCCCCGTGGCGACCCCGTCTGCCCCACAGCTTTTGCCACTCTTCTTAGTCTGAGCAAGTGCGATTTCCAGCTCCTCACTGCCTGTGGAGGCTTCGTAGAGCCGGACAGCCATGCGTAGAAGGACTGTAACCTTCCTACCGCAGGTCACCAGCCTCCCACCCTGAGGCAGTACTCCAGTTGCGATGCTGACAGGCGTTTTCTACGAAAGTAGCTACAATTACTTGGTAGTGTCCTGAGGCAGCCCGATGTCCGTTCTGCATGGCTTCTTGGCTTCGGCTCTCCTGGGCCTCACTTCGCGACCAAGGTGCCTTTTCGTGAGGGGTCAGAGGCACTTTCCTATCACGAATGAGTTGTATGATTTCGGGGCTGTCCTTGTATCTGAAACTGCAGGGCCGAAAACACGACTTGTTTGACACAGCCAGGAAGTCCTGTTCAGAGAGATCTGTCCGTGCAGATCGGAGTTGGCAGCGAGTTGATTCAGCAGAGGAACAGCCTTAGTGTAATCAACAACCCATTTGCCACACTTGGTGTGCTTCTGTCTTCGCCTCTTGGGACCACGGCCAACCGCCACACAGAGAGTGCAGAGTCTGTGGTCAGACTCAAGAATGCTGGTCCGACGCCTCAAGCCTCAATCATGCTCTGCGCCAGCATGTCTTGGTGGATTACGGTAGAGTGTGTAGTCTATCCGAGATTGGGCTGGGCCATGTGCGAGGTCTGGTAGAGCTGAGGCCAAAGCCACGAAGGAACAAATTGCTCATTGGACATCTCCGACGCAACATGCATCAGATCGTATTTAAGGTCACAGATCAAGTGCAGAAGATCGCGGGGTACCGTGTTCCCTTAAGGAAATTCTCATGTACCGAATTTGCTGCTGCCAGACATGCTGTGCTGCGAGTCTTCTCGATTCGAGTACGGAAGATGTACGGACAGGGCGTCCGTGGCCACACCGTCCTGTTTAATATTTACGCAAAGGCCACAGGGCAAAACCGACACACGGGCTACATTGGGGAGAAGTCCTGAAGGAAAGCCCACCCCCAAGCACCTGTGACTGTTAAAGGGCTCGCTCGCCACTGCAAAAGTAAACCGTTGGTTGTGGAACCAGACTGTTCGTGTGTCCCTAGGAATGTCCATGCAGACCCCGGCCTCTTGCAATCCAATGAGATCAGTCCCGCGCAAAGTAAGCAAGTCTGAAGCTCTTTCGAGGCTCTCCAAATGCTTGCTCGTAGGTTGCAGGTCTTTGCCGGTCCTGCGGCCCGAGTCAATTCCTAGGCGTTTGCACATTCTCCCACAAGGCGGGAGGGCTTCAGCCGGGTATCCGGTGATGGCCTGGAACCTTGCAGCTAGGACCACCCAGCCTGTGTGATCACCTCGGCAATGGCCTGAATCCGGCCGACATGCACTCGGCCCCTCCAGTCAATCTCTGGGGTTTCCCTGTCCTTGTTGTCTGCCATCGAGGTGTGGACGAAGAGTTCTTAACTTGCACCAGAGAAAGGTTGCGAGTCATCCACAGCTGTTTGTTCTCGGACCCAGGGATTTCCGACAGGAACTTGGTAGCCTTGAGCTTCTCCAGCGCCTGGGTCTGGAAAATGCGTTGGGCTTGTAGGGGCAGAAGTTGGTTCTAACGTGGGGGGTGCCTACCTCCGTGATCCTGTCAGGGAGGTTCAAGCGTTTGAAGGTCTCTCTCACCGCACTATCCGCCTCAGCTTTCTTTGCCCCAGTCCACTCTCCGATTACAATCTGCAGATCTTCCTCTGGGTCTCTATCCCCTCGAGGGCTGCGGTGGGACCGGTTCTGTGGCGAAGACAAAGCCGCTTCACTTGCAGCCCTAGTGGGTCCTGGGCAGCGACCTGGCCGTCATTGGCAAGGTTGTGCGGGCGAGCCCGCCTGGTCTCAGGATGTGACGAGTCGTCACGCTGACTGGGGGAGTAGGTGTAGGGGGCAGACTCCGGCAACTCATCATCTTCTTGTGACAAAGCAAGAACAGGCACTGCCTCCATCTCCTGCTCAGGTGTCTCCGGTCCAGGGACAGCGGGCATGCCTGGGTTGATCAGTTCAACTTTGTCTCCGATTCTACCTGTCTCTTTATCTTCGGTTTCCCGGCGGTTTTGGTTAGCTCGTGGGAGTCTAAGGCTCGAACTGATCCCTGGCACGAAACCTGAGCGAGGCTCTTCAGGCTCCGCTAAGTGCGGTGGACCCCAGGTCTCAAAGCTGATCTGAACATTCTTCACACGCGAGGGTTCCTCGGTTGGGGCAGAAGGCAAGGATTTCGGGCCAGGCATTCCGGGGGGTGATCCAGGCTGAGTGCTGACTTCAGGCGTATGCCCGGTCACTGGGGTGGGCGCGGGCTCCCGTCCAGCTTCAGACAGCTCCTCCGGCGCCCTTTATCCTACAGCTCCTGGCAAAAGCAAGGTTTCGGCGTCACGCAAGGAAAGGGCAGTGCAGCGCAAAAAGAAGGAGGGAGAGTAAGTGTTATTTTGAGGCGATTTTCGAGGATACGTAAGGCTCACCCGACGGGGGCTGAAGTAAGAAAGGGGGCGAGCTGAAGTCCGCAGCCAGCTTTTTCTGCGGGGGTTAGGTTGCAGAAGTTTCTCTTACTGAGTGTCCAAAAACTTGAGCCGTAGCCAGTAGTAGTAGTAGTAGTAGTAGTAGTAGTAAGCGTCTTGGCCCAGATCACGAGCATCCTTTGTGGTAGGTTTTTGATGTTTGGCGCGGCGCTGAGCTGATTGTGCTGTGCTGGGCTACTGCAGGGAGGGCGTGCGTCTGCTTACGGGACCTTCGGGTCGGGACGCATGCGCCGCTCGCTCGCTCCCAGCTCGTCGGACAGCTCGGAAGACTCCTATGGTCCGAGTGAATCCTTTACGAACAGCGGCAGCTCAGATGATGTGGATGCTGAGGCTGGCGGCCCTCCTTTTGGTGATGATGCAAACATGGAGTCACCCAGCGATGCAGACGACCTCCTGGCCTCGGATGATGAGACCGCCCAGGCACCCACGGCGGGATGTGGCCTCCCACCTCCAGCAGCGGCGGCCTCAGTGGACAAGGACTACCACTTCCGAAGCAATCTTTCACTGAGGAGCTCCTTAAGGGCTTGTGCTGGAAGCAGCTGGAACGGGAGCTCAAGGAGAAGTTCCCTGCCCGTCAAGCGGCAGCTCAGTACAGGGAGTATCGCAAGGGCCATGGTCGGGACTCCCCGCGCACCCTGCTTTACAATGTTTCGGAGTTCCTGTCGCGGGAAAGAAGAAATGACCTGGAGCACATGTCGGCGGCGCTTAGGTGCATGCTGGAGGATGACATGCCGGACAACGACTTGTACTGACTGGAGCACCTTCCAGAAGGACCCATGCCGGAACGCCTGGTTGCCATGCAGTATTTTCAGAGGGCGGTTTTCACCTCCCTACTGGAGCAAGCTGGGGCAGCCGATGCGGCAATGGTGTCGCATCTCTCAGTTGAGCTGGCGAGCAACACCTTCTACAGGCCGGCCATGCGTCTGCTGTGGCCGATTTTGTCGACCAAACAACGTCTGGAGGTGCAGCAGTGGTTCTTCAGATACAGCATGCAGATGGATGAGAAGGCGCAGACAGCTGCGTCAGCCTCCTCCTCGTCCACCGGTCGATAGACAGAGTGTGCTGATTCCAGTGGGGAAACGCTGGAGACGATGGCGCTTCAAACGGCCTCCTACACCGCGCCGTAGCTGCCGACGACCACGACACCGACTTCGAGCCCGACCGCCACGACTTCCAGGCCTGCTGAAGTGGGGTATGCTGCTCTGCAACAATTGCTTGTTACTGTACAGTTTTCTTGCTGGTAGGAGGCAGGTAGGCCGTCAGAAGTGTCCACATCCGCACAATCCCTCAAACACCCCCGACCACCACCCGATTAGTAGAGGCCACCCTGGTCCCAAGTCCAGGGGTATCCCTCGAAGCCTGCACCTGGCGAGGACTATCTTCAGCCTTGTGTTGTTTCATTTGCTATGTGTAGCATGTGCGGGCTCGGGGGCTACAGACGCGAGGGTAGGGGGCAATCCACGCCAGGAACCCCCGGAAGCCACACATCACGGCTTCAGGTGTATGCCAACAAGGGCGAACCCCGACGGCGCTTTACAGTTTTCCGCAAGGCACCCCAAGCCAGTGCGCAAGCGAGCTTTTATTCGGGCACAGCATAGGGCTATGCTTAATGGTCAGGCCAAGTACAGGGGTCGCTGGTGGACAGCATCAGAATTAGGCTGCCAGGCCAGCAATGAGCGTCCGCTGGCTATGAAGCCGTCAGCAGTCACAAAACCGACCCCGCGGCTCCAATTCCTCTCCTGGAATGCAGGCAGTCTGCCCAGCGAACGCAACATGGAATTGCAAGCCTGGCTCAGCTCGCCAGAAGGCCTGCAGACCCAGATAGTTGCCGTGCAGGAAACTCATTGGAGAGGACCGCTAGAGTATAGCACTGCCCGTTTCTTTGCCATACATAGTGGGTCACACAAAGCTGAGGCAGGCCTTCTGCTTTTGCTTGATAGACATGTCTTTGCTGAGCCAGTACCGGGAGGTTATACCAGGCAGACTAGTGCATGCTCGGATAGAAACCAATCCTTGTATTGATCTGGTTGTAGGCTACCAGTATGCCTGGTCCCTTCCCAAAGCGAGTGCAGCCGTCACGTCTGCAAAGGACGCAGTGCTGGCCAAACGTGCCGAGTTCTGGGCGCAGCTCACAACATTGCTGAGTGCTCTGCCTGCCCGAAACCGAGTGCTGTTTCTCGGGGACCTGAACACGACCTTCAGCACGGAAGGCACAATGGTAGGCCGCGGCGTTCTGGCTCGCCAAGGCAGCCATGCACCCGACACGCCCCTAGCCCAGGACCTGCTCCGCAGTCTTGACTTGGTGGTTCTTAATAGCTGGGGACCCGTGGGTACTAGGGCCTGCACATATTTGCCCGCTGGGGCAAGTGGACGCAGCCAGATAGATTTCGCCATTATGCGTAGGAGGGAGGCTGACGCTCTAGCTAGGTGTGCTGCACCTCAGTTGCTACCGTTCGTGCCCCACACTGGCATGAGGCACCTTCCTATTGTAGGCACGATCCCCATGCCGCAGAGACCCGAAACCAGGGCATGCCGAAACCCCGTCAACCGCCGTAGAGTGCAGGAGCTCTGCCGCACGCACGCTGAGTGCTCACGAACTTCTCACTCATGCGTGGCAACAGGCCACCGCCTCTCTGCCGCGGCAGCTCCCCATTCAGGCGCCCCAAGAAGATCACAGACCTGTGTTGAAGCTTTGGCGCCTGCGTCAGACGCTGCGGGACCTGCTCCCTGCCGCACGCACCTCAGAGCGTGCTTTGTTCCGGGCCTGGCAATGACGCGCCGCGCTTCAGGCGCATCAAAGGACTCTTCGACGTATGTGTCGAGCTCGGAAGAAGCAGCGATTCGATCAGATGTTGTCTGTCGCGGCTGCCACAATGCCTGACTCCAGCGCGTCTATCAAGCTCTGCACGTTTTCGCCCCGAAGGTTCCTCGCCGCAAACTGCAGCTCCGGGCGGCCAACGGCATGCCTCTATGCATCGCCGACACTGTCACGGCCATCCGTGACTACTACGCCACCCTCTTTAGTCAGTCGACTCCTCAGCAAGTCCTGCCTGCTCCCTCCTCGCCTTTGCAAATCACCTCCGAGGAGTTCTGCACTGCCTTGCAAAACCTCTCCGGCAACAAGGCGCTGCCACCTGCTGAAGCCCCAGCCATACTATGGAAACTTGCCGCCGAGACGCTCACCATGAAGCTCCTGCCTCAAGTCAATCATTGGCTCAGGCACATGCATCTCCCGCCGCCTGATGAATGGCATATTGCAGATATCTGCTTGTTGCCCAAGCCCAACAAACCCGTGGCTGGGCCGGAGACGCTCCGCCCGATCTCGCTGCTCCATCCAGTGGCTAAGGCGCTGGCTGTGGTCGTCAATAATCGCATTCAGCCTCAATTGCATGCCCTGGTTCAGGAGCTGCCGCAGTTCTCCTATCTTGCGGGGCGCTCTGTGCAGGACGCCTTGGACCGCGCGATGTCCCATTGCTGTCAAGTCCGCTCCATCCTTCATGCGCAGAGACAGAATCCCCACCTGAAAAGACAGGGGCATCAGCCCTCGGCCTGCCGAGGCGGGGTCACTCTCTCCTTAGATCTTCAGCAAGCTTTTGACCTCATGCCGAGGGACAGCCTGCTTGCCGCTATGCAGCTTGCACAGCTTGATCACCCCACCCAGTATGCCGTCTTGCAATTGCACCACCATGCACAAATGCGCATTGCTCATGGGGGATGCACGGCCACGATAAGTACCACAAACGGGGTGCGTCAGGGTTGCGGGTTGGCGCCATCGCTGTGGTGCCTGTTCACATGTCTGATCCTGACCCACATACAGCAGGAAATCGCGCGGGATGCTACCACTGTTTACGCTGATGACTTTTTGTTCCAGTGGATAATAGAGTCCCCTGAGCATTTTGAACAGGTTGTTGCCAAAATAGGATACATCCTGCGCACCCTTGAGCAGTTTGGGATGCGGGTTAGCCCCACCAAAACGGTCCTTATGATTTCCCTGCGAGGACCCATGGCCGGCACGGTGCTGCGGCCACATGTCAAGACGCTGCCCGGCAAAGGCAGACACTTGCAGGTACCGCTGCACACAGATGCAGTCTTTCAGTCACAATCCAGCATGTTTCTGCCCATTGTGACGCAACACACCTACTTGGGTGCTAAACTCAGCTACAACTCCCCTGAAGCCCTCACGCTGAAGGAGCGCATGAAGCTCTCCTGGACGGCATTTGGCCGCCTATACTGCCAGCACTGCGCTCAGCGGGCCTTGCACTCCATCAAAGGGTGCAGCTTTGGCAAACATGCGTCTTTACCTGTCTCCTGCATAGCCTGGATAGCGTCGGCCTTGCACCGGGGGGGGCTTCTGCATTACGTCAACATGTGCTCAGGCAACTCAGGGTTCTGAGCAAATCTCACTCGTACGTCACGCGTGAGACAGGCGACCAGTTGCTAGCCAGGCTTGCCGTTGAGGACCCGATTTGCACTCTGGCGCGCAGAGTAGACTGTAGGCTGCGAACCTGTCGCCTTGAGCCCAAAGCCTCGCTGCAACCCTTACTTGTGCACAAATGGTGGCAGCAACTGGAGTCCTGCTTTGCTTTGGTTGTCCACGACCCGCGTCTGAGACAGCATGCTGCGCCCCTGAAGGCCCCTGCTAGGCTGGTTGCGGTTACTTTAGATAGGGACCCTAAGCCCTGTCCTGTTTGCGGTATCTATTTCCCTGATACCCGCTCTTTGCGCATTCACCTGACCCAGAAACATCGCGACACGCATCCGAAGCGGCCCACAGCCAAACGTAAGCAGTCTCAGATGCGGCGTGACTACATGGTGCATAGTGTGGATGGCATGCCACAATGCTGTCACTGCGGCTGGGCCTTTACTGCATGGCCCTCTTTTTGCCAGCACTTTGAAAGGGAGCGCTGTCCTGTCTTGCACAAACATCAGGCAGTCTGCGACGCTGTTCAACCGCATAGCAGTCACAATGATGTTTCTGACCCCCCTACTACCTTTGTTAACACCCCCGCATGTGGTAGTTTCCCGGAATCGGCATCGCAACGGGACAGCCTCCAGAAGCCTGCTTGTGTCGCTAGGCCAATGTCTGAGCCTGCTGCCTCGCCCAGAGCTTGTGCTGACCCCAACCTGCAGTCTAGAGCCCCGAACTGTAATGCATCTGTCCCCGACACTACACCTGGCCCTTCAACTGTTGTGGCAAGTGCGTTGTCGGGTTCCAGGCCAGAGACTGTGTCTGACACTGACGGGGCAGCCCATAACCTGTTAGTCTCGCTGCGTCATGTTGAGGCTGAGACGCTAGCCCACGCTAGGGCCCAGGATTGGCAAGCGGTGGCGGCATGCATCAAACAGAGCACATTACAGCATTGCCTCATTTGCAATCAGTGGCTGGCGCACGCGGGGTACCTCTCTAGGCACATCAAAGCCCAGCATCCTGAATGTTATGTACATCATGCCTGGGTGCAGCAGTGGCTCCAATCTAAGCCAACCTCGGTGCTCAGCCCCTGCCAATTTTGTGGCACGGATTACAAGGCCAAGCATTGCAGCAGACCCAGACACACACAGTCGTGCCAGGTCCTTTACCGTACTGGTTTATTGCTTGCTCTTGCCAGGCCACATGACCGAGACGGAAGCCCCGGCGATCAGCCTCGAGACGGCGGCCTCAGTGAACCAGGACCTCCTGATGCCGGAAGGACAGGCGAAGCTCCTACAGGGCATGATGCAGGGGGACAGGAACCGCAATCCTTTGGGACTGAACTTGAGCCCGGAGGGGACTCACGTCAGCACGGCGGCTCCTTCGACAGCGGGCTCAACGCTTCCCCCGCCGCAAGAGGTGGAGGACGGGGACATGGACACCACCCAGAGGGACAAGAGAGCGGCGCCGGAGAGCTCGGGACTCCCATGGGCCACCCCCACGGACACGGGCAAGGGCGGCAAGTATCCTCGGCAGGAGTCCAAGGGAAACACCAGGGACTACGGAGGTGGCTGGGACAGAGACCATCGCCGCAGCCCGGGCCAGCGTCGCCAACAGTACTGGAAGTCCAGCGAGGGCGATCACCGGACGGACAAGGACGCCACGGACAAGAAGATCCTCAACCTCTGCGCGGCCTTGACCAACCTGGTGTTGAGGCACGAGGACCAGCTGTCCATCAATCGTTCCCAGTCGAACTATGTGATGTTCTGCCAGTGCAAGGGCATGCTCACGGTTGTGCCCGAGTTCATCAAGGCCATTCAGGCCTGGAAGGAGGCCAAGGAGAAACAGCCCGAAACCATCACCTTGCCGATGAGGGCCTTCCTGTTGAAGCAGTGGCTGGAGCTCCTGAAGAACCGCTTCGAGGCCTGCCTAGCAAACGACACCTCGAAGGCCCAAGCCGAGGAGATGCTCGTACTGGATGCCAACGGCATGGTCCCCTACCTGGAATGGGACCCGCAGGCCAAGGAGATGAAGATCAAGCGCGACAGGGAGCCAATGCGGCCGGAGCAGGTGCTGGAAATGCTGACCAGGATGCAAGCTTTGGCCCTCCAGCCCTTGGCGGTGATGAGGTTCCACGCCATCCACAAGCTCAGCTGGCAGATGAGCAGCGAGGTTGTGCCGATGATGCTGGAGGTCGGCGGCAGAACACAAGAGGCCAATCGACTGTGGGAGGACTTCGGACGCCTCTCGCACAGCGCGGCCACGCGCTGCGTAGCCACCTCGCTTCGACCGGACAAGATGGGGAGGTCTGCCCTGGCTACGGCAGTGCAGAAGATTGCAGACGGCATGTGCGCACCCTCAGACTGCAGAACTGCAGTAACCATTGCTACAGTCATGCCTCCATCCTGTCGCTTTGTTGGCTCTGGACGTCAGGCCCTCCAGCTCTCGCTGATGTGTTCGGGCCGAGCCTGCTACGGGTCATCCGCTGGCTCTGCACTCAGAAGCGTCCTGTCACACTTTGGCAGAACATTGCCTGGTGTGCGTTGCACTCGGGGTGGCGCTCGCCCCACATGCAGCATGATGTAGTGGAATACTTAACCTATTTAAGACCCTCTCTAGGTACCCCACTAACATCTGGCCGGTGGCAATCCAGACAAAACACAGATCATGGATGCCTTGCTCTGGATGAAGGCCATACGTGGCCGCTGCTCTTGCCAGCACCCTTGCGAGCGCTGGCAGCTGAGAACACTGCGTCAGTCCCTTTGCAATTTCTGCTTGATGAGTGGATGCACTCCCAGGCTGGCCTGCATGGACTTGTGACTGAGCCGTTAGCCCTGCTATTCCAGGTAAATCGCTTCGTACATAGCCCTGAAGGCATAAGCAAAGTTGATGTTCCTGTGAGCCCTGAGCCTACCATGTATATTCCCCGCTTCGTGAATTCCCTGGATGATGCAGATCCGCTGGCCCTACAATACATTCGGTACTGTCGAGTTGCCTGCATTTTGCATTTTGGCGCAAGTCCGAGCGAAGGGCACTACCGGGCTATCTTGTATGACGACACCATAGGAACACTCATCACGGATGACGGCATTGCAGCTGCCAGGCTTAGCCCCGAGGCATTGTCAGCACACCATTGCAATGGTTATGCCTACATATATAGGCTCTGCCCTGTGTCCGAATAATTGGGTTTGATAATAGGCGCCCCTCCTGCAGCCGAGTGTTCGAGGCGGAGTGACATTGCATCACTTAAGTGTGGATGTGACACTTTACTCGCACTGTAGCTCTTTTCTTTCTTTTCCAAGGCTGCATCCCTGCTTGTAGGACCTTCGGGTCGGGGGATCAGGAGGGCAGCATTCGGAGTCCTCAAGAGGTGGACTGCACTTAGTGCCGGGGTACCGACCCTGCCCAAATCGGTGCAGAGCAAGGACATCTTTGCTGCGTCTGGAAGAAAGTAGTAGTAGTAGTAGTAGTAGGAGCAGGAGCAGCAGCAGCAGCAGCAGAGTAGGAGTAGCAGCAGTGTGCCGGGAAACTGGAGCCGTC